TTCCTTTTGAGTTGAATTTGTTGAAGCCATTTCCTTTCCTCTTGTTTTGGTTTCCATTGGTCCTTTGTCCGTAAAAGGCCACTTGAGGATGATTACAACTGTCAAACCCATGGATTTGGTTCTGAGTCTCATGACTTTTGAGAAGAGATACAACTTCTCGGTATGGAGGAACCGGAGGTTTCAACATGGTTGTCACAAAGTTCTCATAGCCTTGGCCAAGTCCTTGTAACACCCAAAAGGCTTTGGTTTTGTCTAGTATTGGTTTCCCCATAGCAGCAAGTTCATCACAAATAGCCTTGAATTTTCTTAAATATTCAGTCAATGAATCGTTACCTTTCCGCAATGTGGTCATTGCTTGTGTCAAATTGAACTCTCTCTCTTGAGAGTCTTGGGCATAAGCTTCTTCTAACGCATCCCAAACCTCACGAGATGTTGTGAGTCCCACAACGATTCCAAGCACTTCTTCAGAAAGAGTGCCAGTGATCCATCCACATAGAAGACGATCAGACCGCCTCCATGAGATATAAGCCGGGTTTGGTACCTCTTTGGGTCCCTCAGCATCAGTGTTGTCAGTTGGGGTGATTTTGGCTGTCGGCATGACATACTCTCCATCTAGGAATCCCTGCATGTCTTGGCTTTCAATTAAGGCGGCCATTTGAGTCCTCCATAATAGATAGTTGGTGGGAGTAAGTCTTAGGGAAACAAAGTTTGACACATTGAGAGTAGAAGGATATGGGTAGCTACTGTTTTGAGATGGGGCCATTACAGAATGGGAACAAGAGAATAGGAATAAAATTGAAAGAAACTCTCCGATTCCTCACCGACAAGGCTCTGATACCATATTGAAAATCCTGCATGTGGGCTCAACACAAGGCTTGCATCCAACCTAAAACCAACTGGCTATAGGTGGAGTAGCCTTCCTTATATTTAACCCACAAGCTTCTTATTTTTATACTTCGATGTGGGATTTTCCCACTTAACACTAGGTTGTCAAAAACCGACGTGGCATAGATTTGGTAAAGCACAAGCAGCTCACAACTAGCAATTGTCATTAAGTCAATCACATATTTTGATGTATCTTGTTTGTGAAGCATTAAAAATGCATGTAAGGCCCTTGGATTTGTATTGTTGTAAGTACCTGGAAAGAAATTGAAAGAAATTGTTATTCATATGCAAAAATTTGACAAATTTGAGATAATTACTAATGAGCATTATACTTACCCTATTCCCATAAGCCCAAAATCCAACTATTATAAGTGAAAATAAGCACATTGTTGTTATAATGTATGAAATTGTTACTTCTCTCCACATTGGTTCAGACGTTCGGTGCCTTGGACTACAAGGCAATGTCCCCTACATCAGCATTGGCATTTCCTATAAATAAACATTACCATAAAGAAAAACCAAAATGAACTCAATTGCTACAAAATTCACCGTTATTTCAAGCGCAAGATGATGACCTTTGAATACAAGCATAATAATCCCGATCGCATTCACGATGTTCCCAAATCCCCTCATACGAGATTTTTTCATACTGGATGTGTCATGAGATGAGAGATGACCTCAGGCTTTCCTTTGCCGAGGGAGAGAACCCTTATCTAATATCAAAGTGCAATACGAATCCAAGCGTGTAAGACTCTGAACAATATTTATAAAAACTATTGGTTAATTAAATGTGCAAGACGTGAGTAAATGATGCCCTAACAAGCTGGGACTCAACTTTTCTATCGAGTAGGAGATTATTTTCTCTATATGGAAACGAAAACTCAAGACAAAAATGGTGGAAGGGAATTTAACAGTCAACCCATGCCTGCTTCTTGCTAGATTAATTCAAACCTTGCCAATAGGTTAAGCAAGACATGTAACAAGTCATGACAATCGAATAATTTATGAGCATCATTCAGTCCTTTCTTCTCTTTTTTTGGTAGAAAATATCATTCAATCCTAGTTAAAGGAGCAAAGGGCATAATCATGTCAGATCAAGAAAGTCTGACATTAATTTTCTTATAGTAATAGTTTTCATTTTTACACCTCTTCTTAATTCTATTCTTCCTTCTTTTTTTCACTTTTTGGACCAAAAAGCAACCCCCTAGAAATTTCCCAGCCACAGATCATCTGCCTCATATCAGACTAGCTCTTCGTCCTGAGATTGAGGCTGAGGTGGAGAAGCATGTTCTTCAAGAATAGCAGGCCCTTGAGCCTCCTCCACCACAGGCGGAGCTACATGTTCTTTTGGAATAGCAGGCTCTTGAGCTTCCTCCACCACAGTTGCAGCTGCTTGTGCAGCTTATTCTTCATTTATTTGCTGTCGAATTGCACGGAGGTTGTGGCAGCGAGTTACCGAAGAGAGCATAACCAGCTTCCAAACTCCAAGTCGATCTGGGCCTATCTCATCAAGGGAGTAGTATCGATTGATGTTAAATAGTTCACTCAATCTAAATATTGTGAGCTTCCAATACAATTCCTTGTTCTGGTTGTTGTCTTGGTTATTGTTTGGGTTGCTTCACGAACTCTATTGTAGAGATCACGAGTGCTCTAATACTTGAAAGACTTGATTTCCTCATGAAAAACACTCTAATACCTAAGTTAACAAAGAGGGAAGCTCTTAAGAAAAATACTTACAAAAAAAGAAACATAGAGGAGTTATTATCTTTTGTGGAAGTAATTAAGGGGTATTTATAGTCCTCGACTTCTAGTAATCTTGCCAGGTGTTAACGCTCCATTGGCATATCTATCTATAGTCACATGGGTGCGCCACGGTTATTATGCTTATACTTTTGGGTCTTATGTCTTTCAGGCTTCATTGTCAATGTTGGGCCAATCTCCCAACATTACTCCCACCAATGTTCGGTTTACGAACGATTCTGGTAATGACTTTAGCCCAACATTAGCTCTAATAAGGTAGCTTGCTGGTGATTTTGATGGGTTGAGTGCAAACTACTACACCTAGCTTGGTGATGAGCTCACTTACCATGTCTTTCTTAAAATTTTGCGAGCTAAGCTCATGGGGCTCTTATTGGCGAGCTAATATTTTTCTTGAGATTGATTGGGTTGAGCTTATGGACTTTTGTTTATGAGTTGACGATCTTTTGGATTTCATTTACTGGATGTGACATTGACGAGCTCACCCATTGGTGAGTGCCGAAATATGACGAACAGAGATCGAGAAATGCATTTGGTACCTGATTTGCGGGCTCACTGTTTCGCCTCAAAATTAAAACTTTTCGGTTAAGCTGTTGTTGTAGTGTAGTTTTAGGTGTCGAATCCACAATAAAGTTATATTAAACAAATAAAAAGAGTTGTTATAATGAAAAATTAAATTAAAAGAAGAATTCTAAAATGAAGAATAAAAATATTTAAATAAAAGATGATAATTATAAAAGATTGAAAACAATATTATGATGAACAATATTTCAGAATTTACTTAATTGATTTGTTTAATTATTATAAATTTTTATTTTTATTTATTACTCAATTGCATGTTTCACATTCTAAACAAACAATCGGAGGATTTAACTGTGAAGACCAACAAAAATAACTAATGGATTTATTTTGAGAGAAATTAATTTTAATGAAGAATAAACTGATTTATCATTACGAGCTATCTGAGAGTGACAATATATTTAATTGACAATACTGCAGTAAAGGATCAACTCACAAAACAAATCTATAAATCAATTATATTCTAACAAATTACACATAAAAAGAGCATGACTAATCTTATATGAAACTTTATGAATATAATTTTTAGGGTTTTCAAATATGAAAAATAATTAATAATCTCTTAAAAATAAAATTAAACAATAAAATTTATGAAGAAATCAAAATAAAATAACAAGTCATACTCCTCAATTAAGATTCTCAATTAAGATCCTCCTTACCTTTGTTGAAAGTTTAGCTGCACTTTAACATAATTTCTAGTACTAGAAAAAAAGAAAATAAAAGTTTAGGAATTATTTTTCTGCATGCTAAACCTAGTTTTGAAAGTTCCTATTTATATTAGAAAATATGAATAAAATAAGAGTATTTAGTAACTGAGATAGTAGTTCTGAGAAATTAATTTTATTTTTTCCCTTCTTCCCACGCAGCCTTGTCGGAGAGGGGTTGGAACCTCAATGAGGGTGTGAAACCCCTGATGTTTCTATTTTGTGCAACATTGCCTAGGGGTTGGAACCTGGAACAGGTTGCGGAACCCCTGATGCTACTGGAATTCCTTTCACGCTGCAGGTTACGGCAACTTAACGGACTTTGCTAACTTATGAAAAATGGAGAAATTTCACTTGAGCCTTCAAACTTCTAGATTTATCCTTGGATCCTCATCTTTTTTAGCTCTTTGCATTTAAGTTCTTTTCTTCTAATTCTCTCCATTTAATCATCAAACCTTCAATCACGACAAGATTTGCACAACATGAATATAATGAACACTTATGAAATTACAGATAAGAACATACAATTCTTAAACCCATAATTCCACAAATGTCATTGATTAAGCACACTTTAAATATACATTTTCTTTCTTTCATCACTCACCAATGTGATTTTCAAAAATTTTAAAAGCATATCTTCTCAAAATTTGAAAAGCAAATCTCAGAAGATATGCTTTGTGACTAGTTCATATCCACTTGCCCCCCTTAATAAATGCTAGTGCAGCATTTAAGGGATGTGACAGGTAAGGCTGCATCATGCTGGCTTCCGATTATGGAGGATCACCACATGGAACACTATCATTGGTACATGTGGGGATGTGGGTAACGGATTCGAGGTACACATAAAAGATTAGGAAATGGGAACGTTGCATTTGGTATATCAACCATTTCCATTTTTGCTTCCTTTGCCATCTTGTTGCTCTTCTTCATATTGCTTTGCCATTTCTACTAAGGTTGCAAGTTCATCACCGAGAAATAGAAATCATTGCTCCCATATTTGAATACATATAGGTAATCATGGATTTCTGTAGGGAACTACGAGAGCTCTAAGATAACCAAGGGGAACCAGAGGATGGGGTAATGTTTGTGGAACCCCGTTCCATAATAGTGCCACCGACGTTGCAGGATAACTTTGCTGGAAACATTTGTGAGATGCCAACAGATTTAAGGGAGTGGCAGATGGGAAAGCCATAATAAAAGGTTTGAAAAAATTGGATTCATTGGTGAAGGAGTACTATATTCTATTTACCATCTTCATCCAAGCTACATCAGCAAACAAACAAGCATGCTTAGTGGCTGCTAATGGTTAGGTGCCTGTGTATGTGGATGACTTTGTAGTTGGCCTACGATTCCCTTGTCGGGCATAATTTTTGACGTGTTGGCAGAATATGACTTGGGGTTGATGCAACTCACCCCAAATTCAATAAAGTTCATCATAGAATTCATACTACTCTGCGTGAGGCTACGAATTCTTGCCAAGTTAGTGGTATTTCATTCATTGTTTTAGTGCAAGTAGGTGAATAAAAAGACCAAGTGGTATTACATCTTTGAACAAGATAAAATGATCATTTTTCACAATGTAAAAAATAAGGTAGCAAGCTAGAAGAGGTAGTTTATATTTGTTCGCAATATGAGAACTGAGGGGGTAGATGATGAGCTCGTTGCCCGGTTGTCGTAGTGGGATTCCAACAGCGCATACATGAACTACCCTACACTCGAAGGCATTGATATCAAGCTGAAAATAGAATTTTGCATTTTGTGGACGAGGAGGGAATAGTGGACTTGGATGCCCTAGTTACCCAAGAAAGGTTCAGCTACATTAAAAAAGATTGCCATATGGTAATGGTACAAGGAATGCATAATTTTGTTCCTCCCATAGATGGTCAAAAAGGATTAGAGCTTTTCCATTAGCACGGCAATAATATTGTAATGATCAAGCTGATGGATGTAAGTATGAATTAAGTGTATACTTTTATATGTTTTAGTACCTTTAGGATGAATTGATACAAGGGATTATATGGTAGTCTTTTAACTATGTGGGGTTACCACTTGAACGCAAGTAAGCAATTCAATCTCAGGCATGCTCAATAGTAGATAAGGCCAAGCAAAATGTGCTTGAGAAACTGAGGCTGTAGAAAGAGGTAAGCTACTTGTAAAGCTCAAAAATGGCAAATCGGGTTGCCATCACTGAAAGTAGAGCAAATGAGCTTGCTAATGAGGTCACCCGACTAAAGGAAGAGCTCGAGAAGGTACTAGCTGAAAAGGAGAGTGGCATTTTGGCTATATAGCCAGGAGTTAAGCACCAACTCGATGCTGCCAAGAATGAGGCCACGAAGGCATAGACTAAGCGAGATAGTGCCTTAAACGAGGTGGGTGAGCTACAGGCTAAAGCTGAGGAAGTTGGGCAACATGTGGAGGTTGTCCAGAATGAGTTGAAAAAATATAGAGTTCTTTCTGTCACTTTATTAACATAGCGAGCCCTAGGGGTGGAGTAGTTTTTGGGCTCTAAGGCCTTCCAAGATGCTACGGATATTGCCACAATGAACAACACGATCGAGATATATAACAAGGTTCAGGACAAAGTGTTGCAACATCGTCCACACTTCGTAATTGGTGAGCTCACCTTCATGGAAGGTGAGGAAATGGATAAGCAAGGAAAGAGCCTAGTGCCTCCCTTTGATACCACCGTTAGAGTACAGTGGACATGGGATGAAAAAGGAGCTCTTTTATTTCCCTCAACCGTGCTTGAAGAAGGGGAGGAGCCTCCTTGGAGCTTTGCCAATTGGGTTGGTGGCATGCCTCATTTAGGAACCAAAGCCACTTCACCTTAGTAGCCTCTATCAATGGCCGCCACTGACCCCTCTGTTGTAGCTCTGAGACCTATAGCTGCCCCAGTGCCATTGCTCGTGGTGGATCTAACAAAGGAGTAGGATTACGGTATGCACCATTGTTTTTTATTTTTTAATTTTTTGTGCTATACTGTTTTTGGTTCATTTTTGCTCATTTGGTACTTTATGTATTTGAAGAACATTAGCATGAAATGAAAAGAAACATCTTTTATTAATTTGTTGTTTCTACTCACCATAGGTTACTTATAGAAATCCACATAAAAAAAACTATGAAGACTTAACTATAATATCTCCTTAAATTGTTTACATTCCAAGTAAATGGTCATTGACGACCTTGCGAGTCTTCTAAAATGTATGACCCAGGTCGCTCAATGGTTACAACCTTATAAGGTCCTTCCCAATTTGGGGCAAGTTTGCCCATAGACAAATATGCATTTGTGAGCCCATCGTTCTTGAGAACGAGGTCGCCAACCCAAAACTGGTGATTGCACACCCATTTATTATATAGATTTGCAATGTGACTTTGGTAAGATAAACATCGTAGTGAGTGGCTTCCTTAACTTCATCGACCAGGTCTAGATTTTCACGTAATGCCTAGTCGTTTGCTAATTCGTCAAAATGTGTTGTCTTCGAGCTCGACAAACCTATTTCCACAGGGATAACCACTTCAGTTCTGTAGGCTAGTGAGAAAGGAGTTTCCTCAATAGTTAAGTTGGGAGTCGTCCTGCATGACCATAGGACTTTACCTAGCTTTGTCAACCTAATTTGTGTTGGCCACAAAGACATGTGTTTTGAGGCCCTCTAAGACGATCTTGTTGGCTGACTCTGCTTGGCCGTTTATGCCCAAGGTGTAAACAAATGTAAGAACGAGCTGGATCTAGTAGTCATCAAAAAATCCTTTTAGTGCAACAACTCAAAATTGAAGGCTATTGTTCATGATGATGTAGGAAGGAATGCCATATATGCATATCAACAGATGGGCTAAATATATAGTTGGTTCACATGATATAGGTAATTAAGCAGTATTCTTAACAGTAGGGACTAAATCAAGGACTTTTTCAATTAAGGGATTAAATTGAGGGTTTGTACAATAGTTGAGGGACCAAAATGGAGGTTTAACCAACTTTTAAATATAGTTTTTAGTTTGATACTTGTCTAATCTAAATACTTAAAGGCAACTACTTTTATGGTTCGATAGTTATAAATCCCATAGGTGCACCCCTTAATTTGAGAGTTTGGTTTCGAACCTTTCCTCCCAAAATATAAACTCGTTTAAAAAAAATCTAAATACTTAGAGATTTATATTTGATATTTTATTTAACATATATAAGGTAATTTATAGATATATATTTATATATTTATTAAATAATATTTTATTTTAAAATTTTAAAATTAAAATTTATAAAATATTATTTTTTTAATCTAAATTTAAATAAAATTAATAAATTTTAATAAAATATTACTTATTACAATCTAAACTTAACCATAATTTAAAATAATGACAGGAAAATTAAAATTTAATTTTATATTCACAACTTAAATTTACATGCTATTAAAAATTAAACTTAATTTAATAATTAATAATAA